GGCAAGCTATTGAGTTTCTCTAAGCTTTTTTCCGATCTCATATTCTCTGTTTTTGTTTCAATACCATAAGGAATAGAGGTTACCTCCTGGTGCCTTGTGTATAAAGTTATGAACTCCTGAATCATTGTGACTGAAACTGTGTAGATGGTGGCCTCTTGTCTCAAAATATAAAAACATGCATGTCTTAACAATGATATATAATGCAATCAGTGAGATTTCCAAATGTTAACAAAAAACAGTGTTGCACTGAAAAACATGATATCTATTCATTGTAGCCTGGCAGCCTGATCAGCCTAGGATACTGCAGTCCAGAAACATTAGAGTGCCCAGTCCAGGCATGGAGAGTATTGGCTGCCTGCTCATGCACAAGCCCACATAGTGCTTGGCTAGCAAATGCCCAGCACAATTCATTCCTAATGCTTTACTCCTGCATAACTGTGCAGACAGATATCCCAACACATCTTTCAATATTTTAATTTACAGAAGGAGGGTTTCAGGTTGCACTCACAACCAGTACCAACCAAAGAAAGCTCATTCAAAATGTTGTCTCTTAGCAACATACAGGCAGCAAAATATTTCATTTATTGTGATCAACACATGACACAAATTGAAGATGAGTGGACAATAAACTGATGCTAAATAAATACTCCTTTCTAAAAAAAAGAATTTATCTCTGTCTATCAGACAGCCACTAGAGGGACTTCTGGGTTCTTAAAACACGAAAAAGTGTTTTAAATTACGCTGGACGTCCTCACACTATGCATTGCCGCACATCCGTATTAGGTCTCCCCCGCTGGCTGGCGTCGGCGGGGGAGGATTGTGGGCAGAGCCTAACCCAGCGCCGAGGGACATTGGCGCTGGATTCAGGTAAGTCAATGAAGGGGTTTTCACCCCTTCAGCAACATGGGATGGGGAGCCCTGCAGGATTCTGCAGTGCCAGGAAATTAGATTTATAGGAGAGCTTGAAGGCTATAAGAATATTTGTAAAAGTCTGCAGAGATTGATAGAGTTGAATATTCGGCAGGAGGGAGAAATCATGGAAAAGTCTGTCCAGTTGTTAAGGAATATGTGGCCATTCTACATTTGCTGCAAGATCTTTATTATACTTTAAAATTACTATCACCAAATGGGATCTAATCAATGAGCCCACAAGCTAAAATTTATATGACATATTACCACCAAGGTATCTGCCACTTCCTTTTTAAAGGGTACTCCTACAATGTAGTGAACTTCAAATTCAAATGGATGGCTTCAATACCTAAAGTTGAATTGGTTTTGTTTATTAATAGATGTTATGATTTGCATCTGGACAAGTTGTGGTTGGTTAGTTGTGGGGCAGAGAAAAGCTTCAAATGTAATTTAATTAAATCGTGGAAAAACATGATCATGAAAACAGAATGCATTGTGCTCATAGATAATTTTGACACTGATAGAATGGCCAAAAAAATATTGCAAAGGGGCAATTATTATTAATTTATCATTAGGCATTTGGGCATAAATATTCTCAAAAATGTTATGAGCAATATATTATTGGAGGCCCAGGAACCACATTTATTTTTATGACAGTAAAATATCATGTTGAAAAAACAGTAAGAGTCTGCACACTTCCCAATAATCAATTCAGGATACAAAACAGGACCTGAGGCTGGCAGACCTCAAAGCATCAGTAAAAAGACAAAAATGATCCAGTCTCTCGCCTGATTTAATGAAGATCAGTGCATGAAGTAACAGTAGCAATAATTCGACCTCAATGAGGTGGTTACCAAGCTTTATAAATACTTCATTTGAGGTTGAAATGTTGCTGTTGTTACGTCATGAACTGATCTTCATAAAATCTGCCATTTAATTGTCTTCTAGTGCCTGAAACATTTTTGTCTTTCTATGACAGTAACATAGACCTTGTGAATTTTTACCAAACTTTATGAGTATAGTCACTTAGTCTGAAGCATTTGTTGGCCTGACAAGAACATAAAGCGCACTGTAGTGGTTACGGTGTCAGAAAACCTGTTTGACAACTTGGCTGGGGTCCCTGAGTACCTCCTCTATGAGACCTAGAAACTCTCTGCATTGTGCTTAGCCCAGCATTGCTTATTGGCTGGTAGTGAACCACTGATTCCTATGAGCTGGCCCTGCTTTTTGTTACTCATAGAGGAAACAACGGCAACTGGTGTGATACAATTTACTTTGTGATAGAATTTTACTTATCATGGAAGTAGTAAATTGTGGAGCTAATGGCCCCACTGGGGTGTCTATGGGGGCCACTAGGGGTTCTCTTAAGTCTGGTGAACCACCCTCTTCCTCTAACGAACCCATAGGTCTTACTGGGGCTGCTGGAGAACCATATGAAGTCCCACTGCGTAATATTACTGGAAAGAGATGTTCTAAATTCTGTAAAAGGGAATTCGCCTGGTCTTTAGGGACCAAAGGAGTCTCTGCCTTATCCTGGTAAAGGGGTGGGTTTACCCAAAGGTGAGAGCGTATACCATGAGAAAATACAGCCGAGCTCAGGTATCCAATACTGGGAAGAATATAAGCCCTGGACACCCAGTGAACAACTGGCAATAATACAGCAGCTGCCAGATGTTGAAAAGGCCCCATTAGCTCTAGTCCAGTCTCTATTCACCATTCACGCTACTTACCAGTGTAGTTGGATGGATTTAAATCAGATTGTCGCTCTAAAAGATGGCCCCATTTGGGCTAGAATAATTGCTAAATATACTGATGCACACGAAGAAGCAACATGCAAACAGATAAATGGTTTAGAACCAAGTCTGCATCTGGAGCATGTTATGTCACTGGTAACCTCAATAAAGAAGTAAAATCAGTAGCATATGGTTTACTTACATTGTAGGGGGCATGAAGGCCTGCCTGTCACTATAACCACTAAAAAAATACTGTAGTGGTTATGGTGCTTAGAATGTTCCTTTAAATTCCCTCCAATATATGAACCATACTGTCTATATATGTATAAATGTATATTCTGAGGTGTATCCAATAAGCTGTGACTTGTGAATTACAAGACTAAGATAAAATAAAAGTATTACAAACATACTTCAGCTTAATGGGAGATCTTCTTATTAATATGATATTTGAGCAAGTATTTGGCAAGTGGCTGAAACCTGCCATTCTGTAGGTATTCTAAGATATTGCACAAATTTAAAAAAACATGCAGTCACCCTCATACACATCCGTTCACCATCTTGTTAATGTCTTATAATTGCATGACAAACTCGTATTGTTATGATAAGATGAAACCTAGAATAAAATATAATGTCACCAACATATTCACTGGAAACTTAATTTGCATTAATATCGACATTCTCTCCTAGCAAATTATGCAATTTAGTTTCTCAATGAAAGGATCTTACTTTAACTCTGGTTATACACTAATGCAGTGTTCTCCAACCCAGGCCTCATGGAGCACCAACAGTCCAGATTTTGGCAGTATCTCCATTGGAATAAAAAAGGGAAATACATAAATCCTGGACTGTTGATGGTCCATGAGGACTGGTTTGGGGATCACTGCACTAATGCAACAAAACATCACTTTTTTAGGCTGGGGAGACAGCATGGACAGCATCTAATAAAACCCTGAAGACACCATGTTTGATGGCACTAAGACAGGAAAGGCACCCCATGTGGATTTATTTAACCTTGGAAACCTGGGCTATGGCATGACAATTTCTCACACTGGCAAAGATGGCTACCATGTGCATGAATTATTCAAAACCACAGTATAGACATCCAATTGGAATTTGTTGCAGATCTTACATTTATATTTTCAAAGAAGCAACATGTAAATACAAACACACACACACACATATATTTTTTACACTGCCAGAGAGATTTCAAACCATTTACCAGCTAGTGCTGTGTTGATAAGCTCCAAATATGCAAAACGATTATAATAGAACCTATAGAAATTTGGAGTGAAAATCCAAATGTGACAATGATTTTATATTTATGTGCATTCTGTGCCTTAGCCCTCTGAGACTACGAGTATTGTGAAACTCAGGGCAGAATTAACTATAAAGTGACTTAAGGCTCAGGGGTTAGACATGAGTCCTGGAACCATGAATCTGCCTGGACACCCTATAGGAAGAATTAATAGGGGCCCAAACCACTAACCTGTCTAGAGCCCTTTTTGATCCTAATAATTTGCTAGTGAAAATATAGTCTTTCAGGGCTGATAGGTGGTAATATGTGTTAAAACCATTGTGTTTTCAGTTTGATATGCGGATAATACATATATCTCCTTTATTTTCTATTTCTATGCAACACTCTAGTGGTCCAGTCTTACTTGGCTTCAGGTTAGCAAAAATGGGTTGCTGCTAGCCTGAGCCAGTTCTGTCTGCCATGTGCCACACTTCCACAACCGGGGAACACCTTTTTTTCCTCCCATCTAGATTCTGTCTAGATAGTTTATGTCAAATCTATTACAAATTACAATGAAAATTGCAGACACTTGTTGAGTGCAGTGCATGCAGGGCTGGGAATTTACCAGCAAGACTGGCATTGTCAGGGATTGCCACATCACAAACCACTGTGCAACCCAAGCAATGTTTAATTCATAGACGTTGCACAAACCATTGTGCTCTGGTCCTTTAGCTTTACCCATATTCCAGGGGACCATATACGCCATTTAACTGTGCAGTATTTATGCGGTAATAGCCTATTAGGCCAAGAGCATTTTGGAATTTAATTGTAAGTGAATGAATAAGCATAGGTAATTCAGTGAACTATTCTGAAGTGAAGTCTTTATTGAGTCAGATAGTTATATAGTATACCTAATCTATTGATTTTCTTTTGCAGGTACAGAGTGGATAGAAAAGGGAAGTGCAGGTCAAATGAGGTCAGGAAACATAAAATGACAACTTGTAATGAAGGATAAAGTGAGCAGACAAGACCAGGAACGCCCAGTAGTTGGAGCAGATGGTAGGGCATTGCCCTTTTAAGAGCCAGCTGTGTTCCTGTCTGTATGTGTGTGTATGTGTGTCTGGCGGAGGAGCACGCTGGAAAAAAGGGGAGGGATCTGATTGGTCGGAACCCAGGTAGTATGCCCGCCCCGGGACTGGAGAAGCTCCCCGATTGGCAGTGGAATGGAGGTAAACAGAATAGAATGTCCCCTTCTGTTGGAACCTATGGGAGCCGCATCCCATTGTGACGCGTGGGGTTCTGTTAAATTGTTACTGAGCAGGAGAATGCATGAACCCTGAGAGTGGAAGGAGACAGGAGGTGGGGGGAGTGAGTGAGGCTGGAATAAAAAAAGCGTCTCATATACAGCTTTGTCTGAGATTTCATCACAGACTCTTTATGACAGAGGATGAATGCGTTGGGGATATTGAGAGAGACAAAGCACTTGGTGCCCACTTGATTCCTATTCCCTTATGCGTGTGGCAGAGGGGAGCTGGCATGCAGTTCAGATAGGAGCAGGATTCAGTGCTGCCTTGGAGTGTGAGGCTGGGGCTTTATCTTCTATAAGTTTGCCAAAGCAGGGAAAGTGTGCTGCTGCAGACACAGGAGGGGCATTGTATAGTACAAGCAGTGTGGGGAGGTCCCAGACTATTGCTGTCTGTGATGAAGACAGGCACACAGTGAGAGCTGCAGGAGACGCACTCAGTGCTACCTGCCTGAGCTCTCTCTCTCTCTATTACTGGACCACTCGTATCCTTCCTCCACTAGCTCTGCCTTGGCAATGACAGCTGTCGCCTACATGGACTTCGTTGCTGCTCAGTGTCTGGTGTCTATTTCTAACCGTAAAGTGGATCAGCAGCCTGAGGGGCAGGAGGTGAGGGCATCCCCTTGCCTGGAGAACCCAGCAGCAGCACCTGCAGACTCTGCAATGCACCTGAGGAAGGTGCCAGAGCAGGAGCCAAGCCTTCACCTGAGGACCATGCCTGAGCAAGGAGTGACCAAGGAGCTCCACGAAGGACCAGGGGAAGCATGGAAGGATTACTGCACCTTGCTAACTATAGCGAAAAGCCTGCTGGAGTTAAATAAGTACCGTCCCCTGCCTTCCCCTGTCTATAGTCACAGCGATGAGGAGCTGAGCTCGGACAGTGACCTCACCACGGAGTCCGGCCTCAGCTTCAGCCCATCTTATAGCCCGGGGAGCTCTACCCCCAGCCATATGGACTACAGCCCTGAACCCGGCTCCACGCAGCCACTCCCACTCGACCAGGACACACCCAGCTCCCCACCAGCCCCAGCCCCTGCCAGGTCCACCAATGAAAAGAGGCACAGGTGCCCCTATGCTGGATGTGGCAAAGTGTATGGCAAGTCCTCCCACCTCAAAGCCCATTACAGAGTCCATACAGGTCAGTAACCCCCACCCCCTGAAACCAGAGTGGAATCTGACAGGGTTTAGGTAAACCGTACTTTTTTGAAGTGTTTTTAAAAAAACTTTTTCTTTTCTGCTTAGTTGGGTGTGTTGAAGCGAGGAACAAAACCTTGGTGTTGCTGATCTCTTTAAATGCTGTCAGCATTGCATGCTCTGTGTATAGACACAGCAGGTGTCTATTGTCTGTAGAGTACAGTAATAAAATGTGGGTATGCTCCAATGTGGCTCACAGTCTTTAAGGATCTGTTTTTTTTTTTTTTCTCCTGTATATTTCTAAAAATGTGAGTTTTTTAAAATTGGCAAAACGTTCAACCTGTATAATAAAAAAATAAATAATTAAATATAATTAATTAATTATATATATATATATATATATATATATATATATATATATACATACATATATATAAAATTACATTCATTATATATATATATATATATATATATATATATGGATAGATAGATAAAATAAAGCAGCATACAGAACGTGGACCAAAAGTTTGGCTTATTATCAAACCACAATAGCAGGGTTATTTTTTCCCAGTACTCAGTGTGCTAGGCTTTCAACAATAAAACATTGTGTCCCCTTCTTGCTGTGTAGATCATCAGATACTTATTGCCAAATTGATATTTTGTCTCTTCACAAATTTCTCAGATGTTTGACCACTGGTAGTTTTTTATTATTTTGAACCACAATTCACAGGTTGATTTTCAATAATCTGATATATAAGGTCTTGTCAACTGCATAGTTATAATATATTTTGGTATCCATCCCTGTCATGCATGGTATGTCCTTGTCTTTTTGAAGATTCCATTCGGAACCTTCCACAGTGACAAAAAAATATGTTATTGAATGGTACAGATAGGAAACATTCTTCATGCTTTTTTTTTCTTTTTTAGTCCCATGACCCAAAATAGTTGACTGGAGGATTTGGCATCTGTTTTAATAACACACGCTACTTTTAGTAACGTACTTTTAGTAACGTGGTGGCAAATTCAATGTGTTGTCGAGATTGGGAGGGGTGGTTCTCGTAGTTTCGGCATCCACCCTAGGGTTACGCCTATTGTCATATCACGGCCAACCAGGGGTTGACTACCAGTTGCACATGTTTTGATGCATGACGTCACAATACAGCAGTGTGCACCTGGGTCGTGTGCCATTAAGTGAACTAAGAGCGTTATATTGGTCTTTGAACCGTGCAGGTATAACGGTCAGTTTTGTCTGTTCTAGAATAAGTAACACTTTTTAAAAAGCCGAATAACCCGTCTTACGAGGGTTCCGAAAACCAATGATTTTTTTGTTCACTGCAAGCATGTCATTTTGTCATCAAAGACATTCTGGCAGGTTATCAAACAAGTCTTAGACATTCAAAATGTAAGATACAGTTTAAAAATAAATAAATGTACATCTGCATCAAATGCACATCTTATTGTTAAAAATCTACAAGCATTTGCCCAAAATAACCTAATCATACCCTGAAAGGCTTCGGTTGTATCTAGATTCCATTTTTCCTTTTTTTTTGGGAAGGAGCCAACTGTCTCCATGTCACTTGCTTTATAGCCTTTCTTCGCTATCTCCCTCCCTGCTCCCATACCAGCCAGCTGTGTCCTCAGATTACCTCTTCTAGCAAGATCTAGTGTGCATATTGGATTTCTGCTGTTCCACTCTTTGCCACAGACAGCATATATCTCTGAAGCAGTATATCTAAAGGAGCAGACAGAGTTAGACGGCAGCATTTACCAATAGAATTTTTAGTTGGCATTTTCAGTATTTGTGTATATAATGCCTTTGAAATGAGAGATTGATCTTTTTAAAGCAAATGGGGTGTTGCCCAAGCCTGTCTGGTACTCAGATAGTTAATGCTTTGTCCCGGTCAACGACACTGACAGTGTTAGCCAGACCTGTGTTGTGTCTGAGCATCCTGCTCATTGTTTGTCACATTAATTACTGATAAACTGCCAGTTTCAGAACAGCATCTGAATCACATTCCTTGTTTAGGCTTGCCCCATGCTATCTGTGGGATTAAGGGTGTGGTGAATCATGGCATGATTCAAAAATGTTCACTTTTTGCAGATACAAAGATGACTATCCTATCTCTGTATTAATCAGCATTGATAGTTTTGCAGATGATCTTGGCACAATGCATTTGCACTGTAATCTTAACAGAAAAGTGCAATTCTTGTAATTTCAGTGATGAAATCTGAAAGTGCCCTTTGTGTCATTTTTGTGATTAGGAGATATGTCTTTTATTAAAACTCTAAGTATCTATATGAGTTTGTGATTCAATATATGTATATACATGTGCATAAGTTAGCTCCAGCCAGGAAAGAGTGAAGGTTGGGTGTGCCTGTGGAAAGATACAACCACGCTTACTTGAACCAACCAATCTTCCCTGAAGAGGTTATGAAATAGCTGTGGGTGAAGACAAAGGCAATATGTTTTACAGATTTTAATGCATTATATAGTGAGTAAAAGAAAAACAATTTCTATATTTTGTATAGAAATTTAAGTGCAACTGGTACATTGGCACACAAAAGCAAACATAATTTTTCTATGCATGGCAACCTTTATGATTGTGTTAAATATGTATATTATTTGTGAGCCACAAAGATTCCTGTTAGAACAATTTAATTATAGTTACACATTTGGAGGAGTATATTTAGAGGTGCGTAAGACCGAGGTGTACAAGCACATGTATTACTGTTGTGCTTACTCTAAAGCAAGTTGGTCTTCTGGGATCACAAGGGTGGCATTTATGAGAAGTGGTTGGCATAATAACTGGCATGATGAAACTTGAAATTACTTTTATTTAAAAAATGTATTAGTCTGTTTATGCTAGAGCTGCAAAAAAGGCAACTCATCTGTTTTAAATATATAATTCCCATGGTCATTTTTACTAGAAAGAAAAATCAAAACAAGTCCTTTTCAATTGTAAACACAGGAAGTGGACATAGAAACATTTTGTTAGACTTTTGTGAAGTTTCTAGGTGTCAAACTTTTTTTTCCAGGAGTTCACCATATGTCAGATACAGGTAAAATAATATAATTTATTATTCACTAAACAGTGATTTGTGGTGAATTGGAAATAAAATTACAATATGCAGGATAAAATAGCTATGTTTTATTTGTAGCAGACTTGGAGAATTTTTCCAAATAATACAGTTTTGCCTTTTGTCAATTTGGTTTTCACAGTTTAGTAAATAAACTATAATGTTGCTTCATGCAGGTGCACCTTGCCATTGTATTACCTTTCTCTGCCTCTGTGCAAATCTTTGTTTCCATGACAACATGCTCATTCATGAAGCAATATTGTATTCTTCAGTTGCCTTGGAGTGAATGAGAAACTCTTGGAAAATAAGGTATGCCATCTACTGGAAACATGATCATCTGGAACAACTTTCATTTTAGAAATAGGAATGACATGTTCTGATTTTCTTCTAGTTCTTACGTAATGTCTCAGCAAATAATTGTATCTCCGATTGGTAATGGTGTTGAAAACATCTAGATCTTTTCACATTACATCAATTTGTAGTGAGTTTGCAAACAGCACCAAAAGTCAATATAAGCAAAATGGCTGCAAACTTGCAGCCTACATGTGCCAATTGTCCATCAGGTCACACATGGTGACTGCCAATTACATTCATTACAATTCAAATATTTTCTAAACCTCAAGTTGATGCTGAGTAGCCTCCAAGTCTTTCCCAAGTCTGGAAATGCTAGACATAACTTGTAAGTTTTGCAAAACACATAGACTGATTAGATGTGTAGGGTGATCCAGAATCCTCATAAACCTGGCAGACACACTCTTATAACAGAATAGTAGTCTCATCTGTTAAAGCGGCACTGTCATGCCGAACTTACCTTTCTTTCATGGATTCCTCTTCTCTCCCTCTCTCAGGATCTGTTCTCCATTTCTTCCTGTCTGCTCTAGTTTTCTTAAAAACATAAGACAAAGTAGGGACTACTTTGTCTTATGGAGGTTTCCTATGCCTGACCAGCGGAGGAGCAAAGTGTGCTTCATTTCCGGTGATCAAAGCAATTTTCCCACAGTTCTCACCTTTGATCCGTGATCTCGCGATGCTTCCTGTCAGTATTCCCAAACGTCCTGTCACTTAGACAGAACGCCGGCGAAACTACAGAATTTCATCCTAACAGAACAAGAACAGTTTCTCCATTCGTGTTAGGTCGCAATTCGGGACTTTGTTTGGATCAGAATTTCATTTGAATGAATGAAATTCCGATCCTATTCGTGCCGCGGCTACATCTTGCAGCTGCTTAGTAGATAATTGTTATTGTTATTTAGGGCCCCCACCTGCCGCTCAGGGGCGGGGGCAATAGGTCCCCCATTCAGTTTAACAGCTCCCTACGGTATCAGGGAGCTATCTACCAAAAGGCTTAAAGACCTAAATTGGTCTTTCAGCCAAATGTACTAATACTAAGTAAAGATTACTTAGTGTTAGTACATTCTGCCCCTACTCGCTATACCGCGAGTAGGGGCATGTCTAGTAAACAGTGAGCAGCCAGTGGCTGCTCACGGTTAAAAAAACAAAACAAAAACCCTAGTGTCCCCCTTCCTGAGCCCCCACCCGTGCCGCGCTAGTGGGGGCTGTTAAACTGAATGGGGGACCTATTGCCCCCGCCCCTGAGCGGCAGGTGGGTCCCTAAATAACAATAAGGAGGGGGGACCTATCTTCCCCCCTCCCCATGAGTGGCAGGTGACGGCCCTAAATTATAATAAGGGGGGGAACCTATTGTCCTCCCCCCCAGCCTTCACCCCTAAACGGCGGGTGGGAGCCCTAAATGAAAATGTGGGGGGGGTGAACCTATTGTCCTACCCCCAGTCCCCACCCTTGAGCAGCTGGTGGGGGCCCTAAATAACAATGAGGTGGAGAGGGAGGGGCGAGACCTATTATCCTTCCCCTGGTCCCCACCCCTGAGCAGCGGTTGGAGGCCCTAAATGAAAATGGGGGGAGGAGGGGGAACCTATTGTCCTCCCCGGCCCCCACCCCTGAGCAGCGGGTGGGTGCCCTAAATGAAAATGGGGGAGGGTGGGAACCTATTGTCCTTCCCGGCCCCCACCCATGAGCGGCTGGTGGGGGCCCTAAATGAAAATGTTAACATCCCCAGGTTACTAGGAGTACCCAAGCCCCTAGTCACCCCCCCACCTCAAAAACCCCTACCTACCCCCTTCACCCTAAAAATAGTGAAGGGGGAGCAAGAGAACTAAATACCTGTAAAAATTAAATAAAACTTACCGTTTGATGTCTTCTTTTTTCTAAAATCTTCTTTTTTCATCCCCAGAAAATGCCAAGTAAAAGTCTGTAATATCCGTCGCACTTTGAAACTAAAATAAAAAACCAGAGGGCAAAAAAAAAAGATCGTAAAAAAACAAACCTGACGCTAAAAAAATAATCCATCTTCACCCAGCGAGGGCACGGCGCAGACGGAGCTTCGCAGGGCGAGGAAATGCTTATAAAGCCTTTCCACGCCCTGCAATTAGGCACAGGGTGCTCTGATTGGTTGGTTTAAGTAATGTAATAAGTAATGTACCATCATGTTCCCTTCACCATGGTTGATGCTAGGTACTAAATAGACCCAAAGCAAAAACCATAAGACTCCTCCCCATAAATTACACTGGGCACTAGTGATGTCCCGAACGGTTCGCTGCGGACGACGAACATATGCGGTAAACTTTGACCCTGTACCTCACAGTCAGCAGACACATTCCAGCCAATCAGCAGCAGACCCTCCCTCCCAGACCCTCCCACCTCCTGGACAGCTCACTAAGAATGCAGCTTCACAATGAATGTAAATGGATGCTGTCCAGGAGGTGGGAGGGTCTGGGAGGGAGGGTCTGCTGCTGATTGGCTGGAATGTGTCTGCTGACTGTGAGGTACAGGGTCAAAGTTTACCACATATATTCGCCGTCCATGGCGAACCGTTCGGCGAACCGTTCAGGACATCACTACTGGGCACACAAACTCCACCACTTAATGCAAAATCTGCCTTTTTGTCTCTACTGACTTACCTCTTGGTTTTGTTTTGTTTTTATTCTGAACTGACTATCAAAAATATTAGCAACACATAACACACATACATATAATCACCAACTAACATAAACATAAATGCAAAAAGGCAATCACGTGAATACAAATGCAAATATTCAACCACACAGACAACTGCACACATATATGTACAACATCAAACACATGCATTTACATACATAAAGTGATTTATTTATGTTTTAGGTTGCCTTAGACTCATCTAAATTGACCCCATTCGCCTCACCCCACCCCTACTCCTCCCCATTAACCACACTGTCTGTCACACTCACAAATACAGGTGTAGCACACACCCAGGTCCGAACTGGCTATCCGAGCGCCGGCCCTGCTGTGTGCCTCCATGGGCCGGTGGGGAGATCAAAGATCTCCCTCACCGGCCCACAGGCACTGTTACAGGCGGCCGCCGGCTGAGGAGGGAGGGAGGCAGGAGAGAGGACCGGCGGAGCTCTAGCCAGCAGCTCCGCCAGGTCCTCTCGCGGGATTCTGAGCGTTGCTGCGGTTACCACGGCAACGCTCAGATCTCGCGAGAGTGAACTCTAGCCTGCAGGTTAGAGTTCACTCTCACCACTGGACCACCAGGGAAGCATGACAGCATGGCCCCTCTCCCCCCCCATGGCAACACGGCTCCCCCCCTCCCAGGCTAAAGGTAAGAAGGGGGGGGGACATAACTTTTATTATTAATTATTAATAAAAAAATATATATTTAAAATAATTTCCCTAACAGCCCCTGCCCAGACACACACAGCCCCCAGACACACACACAGCCCCAGACACACACACAGCACCCCCAGACACACACACAGAGCACCCCCAGACACAACAGCCCCCAGACACACACAGCCCCAGACACACACACAGAGCACCCCAGACACACACACAGCCCCAGACACACACACAGCCCCCAGAAACACACAGCCCCAGACACACACACACAGCCCTCCCCAGACACACCCACAGCCCCAGACACACACACACAGCCCCCAGACACACACAGCCCCCCCAGACACACACACAGCCCCCCCAGACACACACACAGCACCCCCAGACTAGGGATCGACCGATTATCGGTTTTACAAGCAGGGAGGGGGGACAACAAAAATAATTAAATATTAAAAAATGCCCCCTCACACACACACGCCATTATATACACATACACTACACAAACACACTGTGTATATAATGCAGTGTTTGTATAGTGTGTTTATATAATGCACACTACACAAACAAACTGCATTATATACACACACACTGCATTATATACACACACTATACAAACACACACACTACGCAAACACACTGTGTATATAATGCAGTGTTTGTATAATGTGTTTATATAATGCAGTGTTTGTATAGTGTGTTTATATAATGCACACTACACAAACACACTGCATTATATACACACACACTGCATTATATACACACACTATACAAACACACACACTACGCAAACACACTGTGTATACAATGCAGTGTGTGTGTAGTGTGTGTGTATATAATGCAGTGTGTGTGTAGTGTGTGTATATATAATGCAGTGTGTGTAGTGTGCGTATATAATGCAGTGTGTGTGTAGTGTGTGTATATAATGCAGTGTCTGTGTGCAGTGTGTGTATATAATGCAGTGTGTGTTTGCATAGTGTGTTTATATAATGCACACTACACAAACACACTGCATTATATACACACTATACAAACACACACACTCTGCATTATATAAACACACTACATTCATTATATACACACACACTACACAAACACACACACTTTACATTTAGTACATACTGCATTCACTTTACGCACACTACCCACACACTACACAAACACTCTACTTTCATTATATACACACTACACTAATACACACTACATAAACACACACTGCATCCACACACACTACACAAACACACATTGCATCCACAACACACACTACACAAACACACACTGCATCCACAACACACACTACATAAACACACTGCACCCACTACACCCACTACACAAACATACAATGCATCCACTACACAAACACACACTGCATCCACTACACAAACACACACTGCATCCACTACACACACTACACAAACACATACAGCTCCCCTGTCTAAACACACTGCATCCACTACACGTGGCATGTATATTTTGTGCATTTACCTTTAGAAATTTATTATGGTAATAATTTAAATGGTAAATGTACAGAATATCGGCAAATTATATGGGCTATCGGCCTCAAAGTTCACAGAATATCGGTATCGGCTCTAAAAAATCAATATTGGTCGATCCCTACCCCAGACACACACAGAGCACCCCCCAGACACAAACAACCCCCCCCCAGACACACACACAGCCCCAGACACACACACACACAGCCCCAAGACACACACACAGCCCCCTACAGACACACACACAGCACCCCCAGACACACACCTCACAGCCCCCATACACACACAGCCCCAGACACACACATAGCACCCCCAGACACACACAGCCCCCCCAGACACACACACAGCCCCCCCAGACACACACACAGCACCCCCAGACTAGGGATCGACCGATTATCGGTTTTACAAGCAGGGAGGGGGGACAACAAAAATAATTAAATATTAAAAAATGCCCCCTCACACACACACGCCATTATATACACATACACTACACAAACACACTGTGTATATAATGCAGTGTTTGTATAGTGTGTTTATATAATGCACACTACACAAACAAACTGCATTATATACACACACACTGCATTATATACACACACTATACAAACACACACACTACGCAAACACACTGTGTATATAATGCAGTGTTTGTATAATGTGTTTATATAATGCAGTGTTTGTATAGTGTGTTTATATAATGCACACTACACAAACACACTGCATTATATACACACACACTGCATTATATACACACACTATACAAACACACACACTACGCAAACACACTGTGTATACAATGCAGTGTGTGTGTAGTGTGTGTGTATATAATGCAGTGTGTGTGTAGTGTGTGTATATATAATGCAGTGTGTGTAGTGTGCGTATATAATGCAGTGTGTGTGTAGTGTGTGTATATAATGCAGTGTCTGTGTGCAGTGTGTGTATATAATGCAGTGTGTGTTTGCATAGTGTGTTTATATAATGCACACTACACAAACACACTGCATTATATACACACTATACAAACACACACACTCTGCATTATATAAACACACTACATTCATTATATACACACACACTACACAAACACACACACTTTACATTTAGTACATACTGCATTCACTTTACGCACACTACCCACACACTACACAAACACTCTACTTTCATTATATACACACTACACTAATACACACTACATAAACACACACTGCATCCACACACACTACACAAACACACATTGCATCCACAACACACACTACACAAACACACACTGCATCCACAACACACACTACATAAACACACTGCACCCACTACACCCACTACACAAACATACAATGCATCCACTACACAAACACACACTGCATCCACTACACAAACACACACTGCATCCACTACACACACTACACAAACACATACAGCTCCCCTGTCTAAACACACTGCATCCACTACACGTGGCATGTATATTTTGTGCATTTACCTTTAGAAATTTATTATGGTAATAATTTAAATGGTAAATGTACAGAATATCGGCAAATTATATGGGCTATCGGCCTCAAAGTTCACAGAATATCGGTATCGGCTCTAAAAAATCAATATTGGTCGATCCCTACCCCAGACACACACAGAGCACCCCCAGACACAAACAACCCCCCAGACACACACACACAGCCCCCAAGACACACACAGCCCCCAGACACACACAGCCCCCAGACACACACAGCCCCAGACACACACAGCACCCCCAGCACCCAGACACACACACAGCCCCCAGACACACACAGCACCCCCCAGACACACACAGCACCCCCAGACACACACAATGCACCCCCAGACACACACAGAGCACCCCCAGACGCACACAACACCCTCAGACAGACAGCACCCTCACTCCCACACATATACAGCACATATATATTATATAAAATAACCCTCAGTGAGTTAACAGACAAATAAAATTAGAAACCCAGAATGTGACGGCAGATAAAAACACCCTCACACACAGCACTCCTCTTACACAAACACACTGCGCACCTCACACATACAATAAGTCCAAATATATTATATAAACACACACACACACACACACTACAGCACCCCTCACACTGCACCAATACACACATTATGCTCCAGATACACGCTAGATCCCTTACCCTATATGCACTCTTAATCCTTTACACACACACACAATCTTCTATACACACTCTGGGTCCTTTACACAAGATCTCTTACACACACACTGCACCACCTACACACACACTACATTCCTTGTAAGCAAACACATACAACATTCTCTAAACACACCCTCTCTACAACCCCTACACACACTACATCACCTATACACACACACTCGCTACATCCCCTATAACACTATGCCCCTATACACGCACTCTCTACAGCCCCTAGCCACACATATTACACCCCAAAATTGACCTATTTACACAATACCACACTACACTCTACACACAGGCAATCCCACACGCATGCGCCAAACACATGCACCATACACTTTCCTGGCCCTTTTGTCCTCTGGTATCCCACTTGTGGAGACACCAGAGACAATTTAAAAGCAAACACAGCGCAAGCATGTTATTACATTTGCTTGCGCTGCGCAGAACAAATTCAGGGCCTTTTTCTAATGCTAGAGCTCTTCAGCGGGGCTCTGGGCATTGAACCAACATGCTCACTTTCAGAGGGGGTGTACTTGTCATTAGTGATGACAAAACACACACTCTCTGGCCCCGCCCCCTTCTTGGGGGGCCGCTCTAATTGAAAAAGCCCGGGCCTAATTTTTTTCCCAGTCCGGCCCTGCACACACCTACTATACATATATCAGGTGAGTGTATACCTCTCTCACTCTCTCTCTGCAAATAACAAATCCTGATGCACCAACACAAGAACACAAACATAGATTCACCATATTGTTTTGGATATATATATACACAAATCGGAAACAACACATACACACAAACAGGCATAGACACACATATAGACAAAACATTCAAATGTGCACACATACACAAATAGCCAAACACACAATTGCACATTCAATTTCATTGCCCCTTCCTCTCACCTAATATAATATCAAGTTAATTGACACTTTCCCTCATCTTATATAACACCCATTTAATTGCTTCTTCCTCCCATTGCATGTCTCCCCATTTCAGTGTCACTTCCTCTCATACCCCTCATTGTCCCTATCTATGCCCTCATTATACTTCATTTGATTTCCCTTTCCTCCCATCTGCTTTCCCTGGTGGTGTAGTGCTATAATGTGTGGAAGCAATATTGGGCTGCTCTCTCACCTCATGCTGCAGCCATTCCTCTTGTGAAGCCATGATTGATGGAGGAGGTGGGGCTATGACATCATGTCCTCTTAGCTTCAGTCAGCTGTTGCTTCATTCAGTCTGCTCCACACAGAGAGTCATGCTTTCTCCACAATGCTGGCATCATTTCCCTGCACAGTTATAACAGTCATCACTGAAGTTCCAGCACATCACTGCAAAGCGCCAGAGCTTTAGTGATGATGAACTTTTAACAGCACTCCCTCTCTGGCTGGCCATGCAAATAGGATTTCCAAAGGTCCACTCAGGGCTATAGCCATAGACCGCCCAAACACCTCCAGCAGCGCCCATGCCCTTCTCCCTAAAAAAATCCCTTTAAAATATCTTAATGGATTTTGCTTATATTGGACACGGAAATGCAAAATAAATAAAATATTAATGCTTCAAGGAACACTATAGCATTAGGAATGCAAATTTTTATAACCCTTACCTTTTATCCCATGCAGCTCTGCACTCCTTATGGCTTGCCCCGCCTCTTTCGCTGAGATCATGAAGCCTTACAGGAAAGCATTGGGAGGTTAGTGTGCATGTGCGGCTAAATGTCACGCTGCACCAATTATATGGTTTCTAAACATAAGAAAAATGTGAGCAAACAAAAAAAAAATAAATAGGTTTGCACAAAATGTGCTTCTCCCTTCAAATGCGTTAATCATGGATAAAAGTAGGGAGAATTTGTTGTCGGCTGGCCACATTTGGGACCCCCACAAAGCAAGCGGCAGCTTCTATTGCGGGCTTGCGGCAAGGGAGTGTTGTAGCCTGAGCTCTTACTTCTCAGCTCCTTCGCGCCGCTTAGTGATGCCGTGAGCCGGAATATGACGTCAGAACGGCTCCTGGCATCACTAAGGGAGCTGAGCAGTAAGATCAAAGCTCCCTCGCCGCCTACTCTGTCAGTTAACCCCCTGCCTGACTGTCCAGCAACACAAGCAGCCCCACTGGACCCAGGTGGGGAATCCACTCCAGTTCTCCCACGGAGGCTGGATTGAGTTAAATTAAAATAAAATAAAGAAAATAATTATAGTGATTTGTGAGTGTTGGGGGAATATGTGTATTAGTGTGTGTCTGTCAGTTAATGTGTGTATGTATGTCTGTGAGTGTGTGTGTGTGTGTCTGTCTGTCAGTCACTCTGTCTGTCTGTCAGTGAGTGTGTGTGTCTGTGAGTGTGTGTGTGTCTGTCAGTTAATGCGTGTGTCCATGTCTGTCAGTGCGTGTGTGTGTGTGTGTCTGTCAGTCACTCTGTGTCTGTCAGTGAGTGTGTCTCTCTGTCAGTATGTGTCTGAGTTTGTGTGTGTCTTTCAGTCACTATGTGTTTGTCAGTGTGTGTGAGTGTGTCTGTGAGTGTCAGTGTATATATGTGAGTGTCTGTGTATGTGTGTGTCAGTGTATGTGTATCTGTGAGTATTGGTGTGTATAATTGCCATGTTTAATTGCCGTGTTGGCACTTTGAGGAAAAAAGTTGGTTTGTATTGCGCTTTGGGCACTCGGGCTCAAAAATGTTCGCCATCACTGGGTTATAGGCTTCCAACACTATGTAGGGTGGGTGTGAGAGATTTAAGCCAATTGCATTTGGTTAATAAGTGTTCTTTAGTTTTTTTGGTTTTTTTTAACATTTCAACAGCAGGCAGCAGGTCAAGGCACCACAGAACATCCTGCAACCTCCATTGTTATGCAAGAATAAAACAACCTGGTAACATATGTTTAATTATTTTCCAAATCTGTACAATCCTTTTTGACTAATAGTCCATACAGTGCTGTCTAATCAAAAGATCCTTGTTTGATAGCAGGTGCAAGACTGTCAGGCATTTATTGTGATTTGAAAAACATAAGATCATTGGTCTAGACTAGAGAAACAACATTTGCTGCATCAAGAATTTATAAAATGTCACTTCATTCATTAGCATGATTTTATTTTGTCTAAAATATTTACATAATTAATATTGAGGCATAATTTGCATATTTCAGATTTTTTACTGGTCCTTAAAGGAACACTATATCATTAGTAATATAAACCCTTATATTTAATGCTATAGTGCACCTGTCCTTATCTCTTCATAGGCCCCCCTTTGTGAATAAGATTAAATAAATAAATCTTTGACTTACCGCTCTGCTTCTCACAGAATCATGGAGGGGGAATAGCCTCCTTCCTGATTGTCCAATCCAATGTTACTTATAGAGGAGACCTGATGTGCATATACGGCGAACACCGCTCTTGCATCCAAACTTCCACATAGAAGAACATTTAATCAATGTTTCCGCGTCATGTGAAAGAGTTTAACTCAAATCACTAGATGAAGATTTAAACCTGTAATGTAAATGTTACTTAACCCCTTAAAGATATTCTATAGTATTATGAATACAAATCTGTATTCCTAACACTATAGTGCACTCTGGTAACTCCCTTCCTCACGCCCACCTCTCAGCTCATAAAGGGTTAAAAAATAACCTTTAGTCACTTGCTCAATTCCAGTACCGATGTCCTTCAGTGCTGGGTTGGCGCTCTGCTTCCTTCTACCTCATCCAACTGGATGCAGAGTGTGTGTGTAAAGTGAATGCAGTGTGAGTATAGTGAATGCAGTGTGTGTATAGTGTGCGTAAAGTGAATGCAGTGTGTGTGTATAGTGAATGCAGTGTGTTTGTGTAGGGAATGCAGTGTGTTTGTGTAGTGTGTATATATAATGAATGCAGAGTGTGTGTTTGTGTAGTGTGTATAGTGAATGCAGTGTGTGTGTGTGTGTATAATGAATGCAGAGTGTGTGTGTAGTGTGGATATAATGAATGTAGTTTGTGTATAGTGAATGCAGTGTGTTTGTGTAGTGTGTATATAATTAATGCAGTATGTGTGTTTGTGTAGTGTGCGTATAGTGAATGCAGTGTGTGTGTGTGTGTTTGTGTAGTGTGTGTATAGTGAATGCAGTGTGTTTGTGTAGTGTGTGTATATAACGCAGAGTGTGTGTTTCTGTAGGTGTGTAATGTGTGTAAAATTATTATTTATTTATTTATTTATTCCCCCTCCCTGCTTGTTACCTGGCCAGGGAGGGGGGATATAGCATTCTCTGGTGGTCCTGTGGCATGGACTGTGCAGTGGGGACCCTCAGCAAGCTCTTACCTTCCCAGCAGCTCCCTTCAGCTCTCCTGTGTAAAGCTCGCGGCCAGTGTGCCGCGCGGAGCATTGCCATGGTAGACAGGGGATTTAGACAGGGGAGTTGAAGGGAGCTTCGGGGAAGGTAAGAGCTTGCTGCAGGCCCCACAGGACCGCCCTACTTGTCATGGGCCCGGTGATCCTTGTATGTATTATTGGCAATATCAGTATCTCTATAGGCCGATACTGATATTGCCGAAAATACCAAATATCGTCCGATAATATCAGCCAGACCGATAATCGGTCGATCCCTAAATACTTCACTATTTTCTCTTATGTTTCTATTACATGCCATATTCAACTATCTGAATGGTAATTATATTTTCACATTTGTGATAGTGGCCCCCTCACTGGTATATGTTTTTACTAAACTATTTTTGGATCTTGTGATTTTGGGATTTTGGCGTAATCCCCTATTTTGAGCGGCTAGCCTGCACTGTTTAATTGCACTTTTTCCCACTTACCGCCCCCCTGTTTCTATTAAATTAAATATTTAGCCTTGGTGGGTAGAAATGCATCCCTTGTGTTTGCTCAATGGACCCTACAGGCTAGAGGCGGTGAGTAGCATTAAGGCCTGGCTAGTAGTGTAGGACTTGAAATTTTAAGCCCTACTCTTATAGTAAATAGTTTGCCCAAATGGAAAATGAGGCAAACCTAAGAACATATGCTAAAAAAAGCCAGTTTAAAAGTCCACGCATAAGTCAAACATATGTTCTATTTACAAGGTGATAGTGGCTGAGCTGATAAAAGTAATGCTGAGCCCACAATAGGGATAAAGCCTTCTTGAAGGTATATTTTAGTACTGTGCTACTATATTGAAAATGTATACACACGTACTTTGTAGCTCAATTGAAATATCCTAATGTTCACATTGATTCAGAGATGGATGATGTCACATTGTCATGACAACACTCTGCCTTGTGAATGCTACTTTCACTATGTATGATGATATAGACAGTAGAACAGACACAAAATTTTGTAAGCACATTCCTTTCTACAAAACTAGCCCATCAAACCTGTTGCTGTTGCAAAGCTAATTTTAAATGTACTATACATGGCAACAAAAATATATTTAACTCCATACTGCTGCTTGACATATATTGCAACTAATGTGAAGAGCAGTACATGTTGTACAAGAATGGAGAATAGAACATGGAATCTCATGTTTGAATGACAAGAATGCTAGAACTATAAATATTTTATTAATAATGCACAGTGACTAATGGTTCCTACAATATCCCACTGGCTAATACCAGGAATAAGCATACAAAAATAGATATACGTCAAGCCTATATATCCTCCTTTTTCTACATCTCTGATAATGTGTATACAAAGAAAAAAAAAAAAGAAGGTGTTATTTTTTAATTAACTTTTATAAAGTTTACAAATTAACAAAAAAAGGAACATACAAATAAATAATTCACAGTTTCCATACTTAAGCAAGAGCATGTGAAGAGTAGTAAAATATATATATTTATTTTTATATATTTTTAAATCAATGGGCTAATTCAATAGGCATGGGCTTGGAACTGCAGCTCCATCAGCCCCTATGTTAATCCAACTCTATGATCATTAGGGTTTTAGAGCAAATCCCTCCCCCAGCACCTCAGTTGTGTAGTTGTGGAATCATTTGTCAGAAGTGAAATTGTGCACTTTTATTGACTGATTCATGCCAATTTGTGAATGATTTGTCTAATGTTACACATAAAGTTGCACTGTAACCTACACAGTAGGGTTTTCACCGTTTCTTTCCCCCCTGATGTACAAAGCACATCATTTTGATGTTAATAAAATAAAAATTAAAACATTATAGTTAACAGAGTCAGTTTGCAATAAAAGCCTTTTTTTTTAACCAGGAAATGCAAGGTGACCTGGATGCAGAAGCTGCAGTGGGAGGGTTTGAAATGAGAAAGGGTAGAAATTATTTTACAAGAGTTTCATATACTTCTAGTTGGTTCTGTTTTCTTTTCTCTTTTTTAGGTAATTCTTTTTTACCCCCATAGGTGAACGTCCTTTTCCATGTACGTGGCCTGACTGCCTTAAAAAGTTCTCTCGTTCTGATGAGCTGACCCGCCATTATAGGACACACACGGGTGAGAAGCAGTTCCGATGTCCTCTCTGCGAGAAGAGGTTCATGAGGAGTGACCACTTAACAAAGCATGCACGCCGCCACACCGATTTTCACCCCAGCATGATCAAAAGGTCCAAAAGGTCTAACTCTACTTTCGTCTGAGGGCATAGTCTGAGTAAGAAAGCTGCTGTACATATCACCTTTTTGCATCTTTTCAGAGGAAATGTAACAGTCCTAACATTCATGCTTTTGCAGCAGTGTATTTAAGAGAACCTGCTGTCCAATTTATTTTGGTGGCACATGACTCTAGATATTTTTTTTGTAGTGGTGTGATATGTACCATCACAGTTTTGACTGTAAAACCCTACTGTGCTTGCTCTGGCATGAATATGTGTTAATGAAATAGATACCACAACGGATTAGCTTTACATTTGTGAAAGAAAATACACATGAGAACACTTGCAACATAAATATATATGTATAAGGGAAACTTTTTTTTTTTGTGGAGATAAAACCATACGGTATGAGATTTGGAAAACACATCTTATGAAACAAGCGTACTTGAACTTAAGACATTTATGTTAATAAGGGACTCTGTATTTTGTGGTTGATGGGATGTCAGTCTCCCGTTAATATGGACATTGAGGGCCTCCATTCAGTGGTGAAAAAATTTGGAAGGTGCAGCTTAGGAACATGATATCTGCTTTTCAGTGGGATGGGGAAATGAAAGGCAAAGAATATTAAATAAAGAACCAGAGGACACTGGATTCATGAACACTATGCTGCCATTTCACCATCATATATGTAGCCAAAGTCAACAAAAGTGAACTGGAGGATCAAGAGTATTTTTTTTTTCTTTTAAGGGGAGATGCAATGCTCAGTAGTCTAATGTAGTCTTTAATATTTAAATATCACTTTACCTTTTTCTAATGAACATTTTTACGTCCTTGCTAAACGTTTGGGCAATCTGTCATGTTACCAGATATGACTACATCTGCCTGAGGAATCGCACGCAGTTGTAGAAAGAGGACTTTGAATGAAGCATATGCCTTTATCCTGCAAGCTTAGTCTGAATTCTGAAGATTGTGTTATTATTCTCTTAGGTTGCTACGCACGTTTTATTGTATGACATAGCAATGACAAAACGTTTCTGCAAAACCAGAATGTTTGACTCCACTATTCACAAAGACATTGCAATATGAGCAATGCTAAGCATTCACACTCTGAGCTGTGTTTATAAAGAATAATTCTGTTGAACAATATCAGGCCGTTTTGACCGTCCTGTCAGTTGGCCTGTGTCCTACAGTATCACAATTAAAAAAAAAATATATACAGCCAAACTGTACTGACGCAATGCAAGTGCACATCTTGCACACTGCGTCATTTTAAATGCCTCACCATTTCATCATTTAGGTTTTTAAGATGATGATCAAATGAAATGTTTACATAACTTGATTTGGTAGCTAACAGCGCCAAATAGTTTTTTTTTTTTTCTTATTTGTTTTTTGCGCACCTTATGTTTCCAGTAAAGATTCACACAACGCCTATATATTTAAACTTGTTCCATACTGGAGAGGCTAACAATGCCGCACTACTATTAGTGAATAAAAAAAGGCCTCTCTGGTTGTCAAGGGTGTTAACTATGCAGCATTCAGCCATGCAGGCAGTTTACAGAATTAATATATTTGTATGTAAAACGCTCAATCCATTCCAGATACAATTAGACCCAAGCACTCCAACCACTTCACACAATATCTGCTTTTATTTCAAAAGAGCAAAAAAGTCAATTGTGACAGACCACACTATACTCTCAGTTACTGATCAACATGCAGCAACTCTCATAAGGAAAAACAATGCCAACAGTCATTTATCTTTGCCAGGCATTATTCATATTTCTTACCTAGTTTTTTAAATTTGGTATTTGTCCACATAAGAGGTAAGATTCACACAATCCTCCAGCTGTTGTTAAAAAAAACATTGTTTGTGGCAAAGGATTGTGGGAATTATTGGTGAACTACAGCTAGAGAGATGCATGGAATGTCTGTTCCTGCTGGCCATGTGAAAGAGGAAAATATTAGAAGTAGAGCTAGAATATGGTACATTAAAAACCAGGGGAAATAATAGCACTGTCATTGAAAGTAATCTGTAAGCATGCATGTCTCAAGGGCTTTCTTTTTGTATTATCTCAGTTTTGGGTGGACTGCATTAGACTTTTTCCCACTGTCACCTTAAGAAACGTGCATTTGAATGTAATAGTCACGTAAAAGAATGCAGTCTCTTTCTAAAACCAATTAAATGGTTCCGTTTCAGAATATAAAATATTAGTAAGAACAAGATAAAAATTGTGTACAAAATATGAGCCATACTTATTCATTGACAAGAAAACTAGCATTAAAGGATCCTACATCAAAATGGAATGTCATGCCAATTTAAAGGTAGCAGGTTAGTATATTGCTGCTAATGTTAGACACTGTAGTCACTATAACCATTTAATCTCTGCATTGCTTAGTCCCTGGAGTCTTCTGGCAGTGTTCCTCCATTCCGAGTTAAACCATTTTCGAGCAGTTTAACACTGAATGAAGGTCTCTGGCTACCCAAAGCACAGCCCCTACTGGAGGTATGGCTAAGGCAGATATTACACACTTCCTTGTTGTCATACCAATTCATGATAGCAATGGGCACTCTAATAGGCTAAACATTCAGGAAATTACAGCTGTCTGTTGCTTCTCGGGCTAATACTTCATCGTTAGTCCAAGCAGCACAGAGTGGATGGGCAGCCGGGGACTCTCATTGAGCATAAAAACATTAAAAACCGTTTAACGCTAAATGAAAGGATGGCACCAGGACACTCCAAACACTAACCAGTTCAATGAAATAAAGCAGATACGGGGCCTACAGTGTCCCTTTAAATAAGCGGATCATTCCATACTGGGATAGGGTTTTTAGGGATCAGACAGTGATGAGTGCATTGAATATTAATCAGTCCTTAAGGGGTTATATATCTATGATGACACATTAGCTAGCATTAACAGCATAGTGTGAACATAACTTAGTCTGTTAATTTTGGATATCAGTTAAAGGATATAGAAATTATAGAAGTGTTTTGAGGTACAGCACATCAGGCACCTTTAATTTATACACACACAACGAGCATTTCACACACAAACACGCAGTGCAATGACTTTAGTCAATACAATGACTGTTCTAAACATATACTACATTATAAATATACTATGAAATAAGGAATTTCAGGAAACAAACAAACATTACACACTTTCTACCTCTGTTTCAGTTTTTTGAAACACCTAATTATTCCGAATTGCAGAATAATTCTTCCATTGAAAATAACTAGTATGAAAATACTAAAGAAAAAAAAAATACAAAATAAAAAAAACAACCAAAAAAAAAAAGAAAAAGAAAAATCCTTCCCTTTTATGGTGTTTGTTTATTTATTTTTTAATATTATTTTTTTAACTGCCATTGGCAGTATATTGAGTTACCCCTCTAAGATCCAGAGGGAATAGAAAAAAAGTCAACAGAACACTCTTTTAAGTCATTAAGCATGGGCAACTGTAAGCATTTCTGGTTTTGCATATGGAGCAGAATAAATACATTTCAAGTGGACTACAAGCACAAATTCTTTGCCATGACTTAGAATTGACATTCAAAGGTGTTTGTTCTTTCTGTTGTCCCTCTGTTCAATAGGGCAACTAGTTATATGTTTAAATGTGACAGATAGGATTGTTTCATAAGTGAAATGGTGTCTGTTTGTGAAATTTGACAGCTGATGTTGAGCATTGTATTTACAACATCCCGACTTGCTTTAAAGGTGTATTGATACAGGATTAAATTGGCTTCATGGCAGATTCTAAATATGAAAAATTAAAATAGAATATGTACATGTTTCAGCTTTTAAATCAACATCAAGTCGTTATTATTCTAAGGTAAGTGCATTTTATTCAAGGTGACGTAAAAGCGATAAAGGAAGTGTTAATTTTGTGATTGAATTACAATGCATGTGTCTATACCACTTCTGAAACCAATGTTTTTTATAACATTTTGTAATTTTTTGCTTCAAATTCTGTACTCTGTTAGGAGCAAGTTATCAAATTCAGGAAGTCTATTTTCCCATGCACACTCCTATTCTGTTAAATGCCATCATACTGCTTGGTTTAAACATCAACGTAATACGCAGTAAAACACTGATGTAGATAAACATTCCATGAACAGTAAATCCAACCTTTTGCCCAGCAATGGTTAAGAGAAATAAAAAACATACTTGCAATTTAATTGTCAATTACATTATTCCTGTGGTATCTACAAAGTCCTGTCTATATCACTGTAGGACAGTGATGGCTAACTTAGACACCATAAATTGTTTCTGGACTACATTTCTCATGATGTTCAGCTAGCTTTTAGACTCTAAAAGCTAGCTGGACATCATGGGAAATGTAGTCCAGAAACAATTTATGGCGTCAAGGTTAGCCATCACTGCTGTAGGAAAACAAAGTATAGTTTTTGCACTTAATGCCAAAACTGTTCTTAAAACTATGATTTGTGAACCAATTGGAATCGATGCCTTTTCTTAGCATTTTTGTTTTCAAAACTAATCACATTTTGTGTATCTGTTAACATTTTGTTAGGTTCAAGGCTCTCTAACAGGCATAGCCAAGACATAGCTTGTTCAGACATCTGTGATTGCTGGTGATCCTGGTACAAAACAGATCAGCATTAAGCAGCATTTATGGAAAAAACAAAAAACAAAAATATAAGCATTTCACCTTGCATATCAGTAGAATGTGGGGTTTATTCACTTAACAGTCACTTGAAATATGGTAATGATAATGATTTACAAAATTGAGGGCAAACAGGCAAGCTTGAAAACATGTCTAATTCACTATAGCGTCTAAACCATGTAAAATTTAAATTTAAAATTGTAGTCCAAATAGATGATCTAGAAAATGTCTCCAAATGTTTTCAGTTTGGCAATTTTGGCCTACATTTTGACACACCATTGCTGTGCTGTCCCGTCCCAACATTTTGACGAGACATGCCATAAATCCCCACATGTTGGTGGCAGAATATAAAATTAAAATAAAAAACTCTGCAGTTAAATAACATGATGATGAAAAATTACTCATAGGGGTCAAAGTGATGACTTGACAACTGACAAAACAGACCACTTACTCCACAGATCAAAAAGACTGCCTAGAGTATCAAAGTGTTGCCTTCCAGCAGTTGTTGAACTACAGCTCCAACAATTCTCTGCCAACTTATGGACAACAGCTTCCATAACTCACCGCCAGCCAATGGAAAACAGAGAATCTTGTGAAAGTTGTAGTCCACTATCACCTGGGAAGCCAAAGTTTGATGCCACTCTTTATTCTTTTTGGACTATACTGGTACAATGCTAACTATGTATGTTATCTATTCTGAGGACAACCAAAACAAAAATTCATGGTGATACATTTATTTAAGCCTTTCCAAACTATCATATATTTGTGGCTGCAGATTTTTTGTCACTTGCTATGTGTTTATATGTTTTGGGGGTTTTTAAAGACTTATATGGCTTTCTTCAGATATGCTAGAATATGTATACATAAAACAACATTACGTATTAATGAAATATTAAAGTATAAGAAAAACAATGAAATGTTTTCATTGTTTTGCCTATAAACATTTTTTCCACAACTACTGCAACTAAAGAAAAATAACTCAAAATAGATTTACTTAGTAGTCCTAGTTTTTAAAATGCCCAGCTTGTCTGGGCTTTCAATTAATGTTTGGAAGTTGTAGGTCAAACTTTGCAAGGGGTGAATTACAGTTTTGAAGCTAAACCTTTGCAAATTTTGGTTTGCCTAACCTAAAAGCAGCTGTCACTAGACCTTAAATTTTGAGTATTTTATAAAAAAAATTATATTTATGAAATGCTCACATTGACTGCATTGGAATTTCATTGAAGCCTCTAACACATGTAACATTTTGAGTTTTTCCACTTGGCCATTTCACCACCAGTATGTGCAGAATTTGGAACTACATTTTATTTAGATTTTTTACATATATATTGAAATTTAATGCTAAACTTATGAAAGAGCCTTATGAGTCCTATTCTCTCAAAGACCCCACACATTGCATTCTGCATCTCATGAGTACATTATTAACTCACATGTAAAAGTTTGCTACATTTCTGGGGAATGTATAGGATCGAATTAGAGATATGCCTTAAAGGACCACTATAGTGCCAGGAAAACATACTTGTTCCTGGCACTATAGTGCCCTGAGGGTGCCCCCACCCTCAGGGTCCCACTCCCGTGGCGCTGAGGGGGGAGGAAGGGGTTAATCCCTTACCTTTTTTCCAGCGCCGGGCTCCCTCGGTGCTGGGACTCTCCTCCCTCTTCTTCAGTCACCGTCTCTTCTTCTGTCATGCTTTCCTATGGACGCTGGCGTCTTCTTACTGTGAAAATCACAGTGAGAAGCGCGGAAGCGCCTCTAGCGGCTGTCAATGAGACAGCCACTAGAGGCTGGATTAACCCATTTGTAAACATAGCAGTTTCTCTGAAACTGCAATGTTTACAGCAAAAAGGGTTAAACCTAGCTGGACCTGGCACACAGACCACTTCATTCAGCTGAAGTGGTCTGGGTGCCTATAGTGGTCCTTTATGCAATTTGTCAAAGTGACGCTACCTGTGTCACCATACGGACTTTTGTCAATTTGTAATGTTATTTCTGAATCAAATCTAGTGCTTACACAAACTAACCATAACCCAAACTGACCCTATCTAACTCTAATCTTAGCTGACTATAAATAACCCTAACAATAAACTGTTTAGTGGATTCATCCACACATTGGTCACAGGTGTCTCGGCTGGCAGCTAAGGTATGTCATGAATGTGATTAGCTCCCAGAATGATCAGACAGAGAGTCAACAAATGGTGGGTACAATAGATATTGTTGAAAAACCACTCTATTGAGGCAGCCAAAAGGAGCTCATTGACAGCTGAACATGGTGTTCACTCCTCCATCTTGGAACTCAATAGGAGTGCTGTGATTGGCTGACAGACCAGCCCCATGTCATGTGGCAGCCTTATTATGCTAATACTAGGCAGCTTGATACTGAATATTCATAGAGATGGCTTAGGGGACCTCAACATTCACGTTCAGTGAGGCATCAATATGCTCATCTCAAGAAACCAGCCTGGTGATGAATGTGCATATGAGACAGCGTCATACCCTGGTATGGTGGCTGCCGTGAATGGCTTAGCACTAGAATGAATATTGATATTCCTGATTACCATGTGGAAATCCCAACTAAATAGATCTATTTAGCATATAAGAACACTTTAAACACAACACATTCTATCGGGCAAAACATTTTGAAATAAATGTTGCACATTACGTTTTAAATAATTTTTCACTACAAAAACTTAATTTAGTAAGAAAAAAATAATTTAGTTATCAATCCATGTTAACTGTCCAGTTAGCATTCTTATTCAGACATTATAGTGGTGTATTCACTAAAAACAGAATTGTAAAGATTTAACTGCAAAATGTAGGTTAAAATAATCAAGGTATGAGTCTAGTTGAGTTGCCGAAAATGTTCAATTCAGGTTTCTATTCACTATTTTTGATGGTTTTGGAATAAACCTGTGTACTTGAGGAAGGGTCATGTGAAGACAATTAGATGCAATAGACTGCACATCTATTGAAAGTTAAGCAGTCAAGTCAATAGTGGTTTTCATTGGAAAACACTGAATAGAGTCTTCATGTGCTTCCTGGTGATGAGCAGTGAGCTGTCGGCTCCTAGCAGTGACAAACTTGATTGTATTCAGATTACACTGCATGAATCTAACAAAATGTTGCCAAATATCATATCAAAATGAGGATATTTTTTTTTCTGTGCTGTTTAAACGGGAAAGGTGTCTGTCATTAGATTTGGATACATTACAGTGCACTGCTGGTCATCTTTGGAACTTTATTACTGTTTAACCCATTTTACATGTCATCTTCTAAAAGAGCGGTAAGATATTACCAGGTTAAATGCAGATTAATAACTTGCAATTTTGTAGCATAGTCATTTCTGCAATTGTTTAATTTTTACAATTTTTTGTATAGTTTCATAAGTTATTTTGTGCTGTCTTATTGGATTTGGAGGAAATTGAACTGATTAAACAAAGGGTAGGTTTACCCATTTTGTACAAGTGTATATAAATTGTTCCAATAAAAAAAAAAACATTGTAAGAATACCGTGAAGCATTCTTAATTAAAGTGTCACACAAACTCAACAAATGATTGAGTCAATAGATTCATATGTGATCTCACATTTATTTTGCTGAAAATGTTTCATATTGTCTGTCTTTACTTGCACAACATTACATGATAATCACATGTTTTTTACTTGTATAACATTACATGTGGAGTAGGTGGGGAGTGCTCAGTGATAGACATCTCAACTCTGATCCTTCTTGTGGCTCTGCTCTAGCATTGACTGTTGGCACAGTATAATGCCTGTATATCTCAATGCCCTTGCTCTGTAATTTAGTGACCTGGTTAATATAACTATGCTACCGGTCACCCTACCTCTATATTATTAAGTAAAGATGACCGTGCAGTGGAGGCAATGCTCCTTGACTTTCACCATGGGACTCATGTATACATAATTCCCTGGTCTTTCTATACTGCAGAATTGGATATACACAATATTACCAGTTTATTTATTACAAAGTAAATTTTCCCCTGTGGGCTCCTAATTAAGTGCTGGCTCTGTGGGGTGCATTGCCTCTGCTCAGGACGGTGATGGCATCTAAACATCTCACTGGCGCTCTGCTCTATTGGAACAGCAAGGGAGCTGCAGGTCTGCACCTTTGCCAGGAGCAAATCACTCCCAATGCTCCCTCACAGTCCTCGAGTAGAGTTCTACACCCAGTCAGAAGTCCACTGGAACACCAGGGAGATGGTAGATGAGCCCCTCTGGACCACAAAGTCACAATGCCCCCCTCGCTGCTAAAAAGGTAAGCAGCAGCAGGCAAAAAAATAAATATATATATATATATATATAATACCGTGTATGGAGGCTTGACACAAACACACCTTCCCCACACTCATCACAGTCACCCCCATACAAACAGTCACTCCCCAAAACTCGCAAAAAACTTCCATACGCACAGTCACAGACAAATCACAGTCTTGCAAATATATGCTCCCAGACACACACACAGGAATACATTCCAAACACACTTACAAATCTGAAATGTATGGTGCTTAAAGGGTGTTTAAAAAATTAGCGGATACCATCAAAACTAAATGTAAAAATATTATGGAGAAAAAATATTGGACCAACTAATTGAAAATGCAGGTAAATTTGATAAAGACACTCTAATTAAAACAAAAAAGAAAGTGAAATTGAATCAGACCTCACATTATTTTAGACTTCAATAGAGAGAATTTAAAGCGGGTCCCTGCGAGTGGGAGCTATTCTACTAAACGGGGAATATAGGGTCCTGCTTGGCTCCCACCCATGAGTGGCAGGTGGGGGCCCTAAAAGACAATGGGGGAGACCTATTGTCCCATCCCAAACCCAGAAGCGGCGGGTGGGTTCCCTAAAAAACAAGAGGGGGGACCTATTGTCCTGGCCCCCACCCATGAGGGGGGTTGGTAGGGCTTTATTTTTTATTTTATTTTTGTGGGGGGGAAGGTGACTAGGGGCCTGTGTGTGTGGGGGTGGAAATTTTTACATTTAGCCCCCACCCGTCACCTAAGGTCGCCTAATAGGTCCTCCCCCCATTGACACTTAGGGCCCCCACATGCTGCTCATGGGTGGGGGCTGGAACAATAGGTCCCTTCCCTATTGTCTAGTAGGGCCCCCACCCACCACTCATGGGTGGGGGACGGGACAATAGATGTGTGTCCCCCCTATTGTCTTTTAGGGACTCATGGGTGGGGGCAGGGTAAACAATAGGTCCCCCCTATTGTCATTTAGGACCCCCACCCACCGCTAATGGGTGGGAGCCGTGGGGGGGGGGACCCTAGGTCCTCGTTTAGTTGAATAGCCCCCACTGGGTGGGGGCTCGGAAAGGACACTATGCCCCCCGTAATTTATTTGAATAGGTGCCACAGTGGGGTACTGTATTGGAGGGGAGGTTTTTGTTTTTTTTTATATTATTTTTACAACAGGGAGCAGCCACAGGCCACTCACTGTTTAGTAGACAGGGGCATTCAGAAGATTTCAATCTCCATTATGTTAATATGGGGGTCATACTGACCCTCATAGAGTGAGGGAGGATATGGGGGGCTTAGGAAGTGGCGGGGAGCACTGCTCCCTGCCGCTTCTGTTTTTACATATTACAAGGAGAGAGCTGCTAGCCGGTAGCTCCCTCCTTGTAATAAACAAATGAATGAATAGACGAAATTCCCATCTGAATTTTGGACAAAAGCAAATGCCCAAGTGTTTAACTGGGCAGCGCTATCTTGTGTGGGCAGATGACGTGTCCCACAAGGCCTTCATCTGCCCACACAAAGATGGCGGCACCCCGGACCTAGGTCCCGGCATTAAATAACGATAAAAAAAATAGTTAATGTGGGGAACTAGGGGCATTTGGGGTGAATAGTGGGGCAATTAGAGGTAGTGGACTCGGGAGGGGTGTTAAGAACAAAACGGATGAGGCCATAACAGTGCCGCTTTAAGGGTTAAAAGAACTGGAACATATTGAAGAAATATCTTGTTTTGAATTAACTTCTTTCCAAACGCCCAAGAGTGGTCTTCAGTGGGGCTCCAAATATTAAGAACAGAATTTCTAAAGGTTATATCAAGAGGGCACCAAAATTAAAATTTCTAAATAATGAGAAACTTTTTTATTATTGTAATAATTGCCATGCATATACAAGTACCAAACTGAAATTTACGAGCTAGATCACCAAGATTGCCTCATATAGTAAGAATATAAGTTATGATATCAAAGATTTAATAACTTTTTTCAATGTTAATATATGTCTTGGAATGACAGTGCAGGCTCCAGTACGTGGGCAGAACCAAGAGAAAACTGTCCATTAGAATAAATGAACAACTCAGGAGCATCAAGGATAAGCACATAAAACATTTATTACTGGCTCATTTTGTTTTATGCCATAATGCAGACACAAGCCTACTGAAATCTGGAGCCATTTCATGTCGCTCTTAAGTTTGTTTTACATTCTTTATATTTTTTCTTTTTTTTTTTACACCCCCACCACAGTGGGATCTGTCCCAAACTTAGCTTACTTACATTATAGAGTCACAATTAGGGCAGTCCCTTTATATTCAACAATTATATTTCGTCAATGTCCACTATTATGTTCTGCTAAATATGCATTATAATATTGTTTCATGTATATTATAAAATGTGAATCCTGTCTTCAAGATGGTACCTGTGCATATATATTTTGTTTCATGCAATATACACAAAATAAGGAATATTAAAAACAAATAGTGTTACTATTAAAAAGAATTGGAGAGGAAAAGACCTACATCAAGCACTAGCGCAAATGGAAATGGAAAAACTAGTAACGCCACGAGCCCTGATAGGGATACTGTAGGTACCCAGACCACTTCAGCTCATTGAAGTGATCTGGGTACAATGTCCCATCATCCTTTACCCTGAGCATGTAATTATTGCAGTTTTTGTAAACTGCAATAATTACCTGCTAGGGTTAACTCCTCCTGTAGTTGCTGTCTACCAGACAGCCACTAGAGGGACGTCTGGGGTCGAAGGCCTAAATGACGCTGGAGGTCCTCACGTTATGCATGAGGACTTCCAGCGTCACCAGAATCCCCATAGGAAAGCATTAAATAATGCTTTCCTATGGGGAAATCCTAAAGCGAGAGCGGACATTACCGTGCTTGCGTATTAGGTCTCAAGCGTGGGTGGAGCCTAGCACTGGACCCAGGTAAGTGGCAGAAGGGGGTTATTAACCCCTTCTGTGCCTGGGAGAGCTTGACAGAGGGGGAAGCTATAGTGCCAGAAAAACGAGTTTGTTTTCCTGGCACTATAGTTTCCATTTAATGCTGATTTCAAACTGCATAGCTTTATATTTTTTTCTTCCTTCCCTGCAACTTTGTATAAAATGATACCGGTCAATCTGTTAAAGAGGATTAAATGTGCAGTTGTATGTTATGTAACAGATGAGTGGGTGAATTTAATGCCTTATGTATAAGGTATTGTTGTATAGGAGCTGCCATGGCGGTATGGAAATGCTATAATAACCTGTCATGTACCAACCAAAATGGGTAATCTCAAGAATAGGGTCTCACTATGAACCAGTGTGATGCTGAACAAATGAGTGGGTCAATTTATACATGGCAGCTACTCAAATAGAAGACCAATTTTTAGAGTTAAGTTTATTAAGGTTAAGGTCTATATCACAACCATTTATTCTGCGTTTTTGTTTTATTCAAAATTCTTTATTTAGCAATTTTTCTAAATTAAAGGACCACTCTAGGCACCCAGACCACTTCAGCTTAATGAAGTGGTCTGGGTGCCAGGTCCAGCTAGGGTTAACCCATTTTTTCATAAACATAGCAGTTTCAGAGAAACTGCTATGTTTATGAATGGGTTAAGCCTTCCCCTATTTCCTCTAGTGGCTGTCTCATTGACAGCCACTAGAGGCGCTTGCGTGCTTCTCACTGTGATTTTCACAGTGAGAGCACGCCAGCGTCCATAGGAAAGCATTATGAATGCTTTCCTATGTGACCGGTTGAATGCGCGCGCAGCTCTTGCCGCGCGTGTGCATTCAGCCGGGGGAGGGAGGAGGATCGGAGGAGGAGAGCTCTCCGCCCAGCGCTGGAAAAAGGTAAGTTTTAACCCCTTTACCCCTTTCCAGAGCCGGGCGGGAGGGGGTCCCTGAGGGTGGGGGCACCCTCAGGGCACTATAGTGCCAGGAAAACAAGTATGTTTTCCTGGCACTATAGTGGTCCTTTAACAAGAGTAACAATAAGAAAGGAAAAAACAAGTAATGAATTATTACACACCATGGATCGAGTGTATGCAAGTATTGGAACACATCATAAAGTAGTAGCAACTAAGTTTAAACATAGTGGTTGTCAATAGGAGCCCATTAGCCAAGGTTCCTATAACAAACCATGAACGCGGCATGGGACTTCACTGATAACGAAGAGCAAGTTCAGTAAAGCAACTAACGGGGCAGTAGATGCAAGTAATAGCACTTCAAGGGAAAATGCTCTGCTTCTCGAACTGATTTAATTTCAGTAAGAGTGTGGACCATGTGTTTGTCCTTGATTTTATGGATGATAGGGT